GCGTATGACTTAATTTATTTTCTGGTGCTTTCACTTCCAGAGACAGTTGTAAGCACTGTGTAACTGCCTCGAGGGTGCTTGACCATTTTAACACAACGTGGTGCGATCATCCCCCTTGCGCCGAGTGAGGGTTCTCCACCCCGCACAACATGATCTACTCGACCACCATTATGGTTACCGCAAAAAAAAAAGCGGAGGTAAAAAAACAAACAAACGGTGACCTGGTTGCCGAGTTCACGAAGTGAAATGGCATGTTTTACAACGTCGTTGCCAAGCGACGAAAACCCAACCAACCCCGATGGCAAACACCGGGATGGGGGCAGTACAACACGCAGTAGGGGCGTGATAAAATCTTTTGATCGTTACACGTCGCCCGCTTGTTGACTGAAAATTCAAAACGCTGTCATACCGACTAAAAATCAGTTGTGCTTACAGTATCAGTCCCAGCAGCCTCCTTGCCGTCGTGGCAGCTTGGCTGCTGGAACACCGACGCGCAGCGAGCTAGTCGTGACCAGCGGGGTAGATAGACTGCGAGCTTGGTTGTGGCAGTGGGCAAGAATCCAACGACACCGGTGCCTGCTGGGACTCACGTAAATGAATCCATGTGGCTTGCTCCTGGTTGTGTGTTGGCTGTGTTGTATTTTTCGTGCAACACGAACCACCCCCTCTACATCGGAAGGTAGGTCGCACGGCGACTTGGTTGAGATACCGTTGCCACGTGTGCATTGGCATCCGTGCCTGCATCGTAGAGCAGTGGAAGCCCGACGACAAACAATGCAGTACTAAATATCTATAAGGCACACGATCAAACCGTTGTCGCACCACAGCTGTGGGCGTCTTTGAAGCTAGTGGTAACTGCTGTGGGATCTCGGTGTGCCGAGAAAAATCAATCCATATGAGCACAAGCAAGAAACCGTGTGGAGAATCCGTCGAGGATTCTATACGAGAGTTTGGACTCTTTTTCGAAGAGCATCTACAAGTACGGATTCTGCACACGGATTCTTACTTTTGCTCGCATGGATTGACATTTCTCAGCACACACAGATCCCACAGCAGTCACCACTAGCTTCAACGACCCCTACAGGTGTGGTGCGTACAGCCTTCAAGGTTTGGTCGCGATCCGACCATTATGGAGGGATAACTCTGTGGTGATGTGGTGAGAGGTCTGTCTCTGGGTGGAACCCGTGTCAGATCCCGGCGGGGGGGGTATGCCAGTCCAAAAACTCCGTCGGGCCAACTTTCGGTTGCCATAAGAGTCAGCCTAAGCGAAGTCGGAAAAAACAAGAAACAAAACGTAATACTGTATTATGTATGATCAGAACTAACTATGTGACATGGTTGATGAAATAATTGATGCAACAACAACAACGCGGAATTCAACGCCAACATTACACATTCTAACATTTACATCTAACCTGTCAACGAAAATCATGTGCCTACCATATCACGATGAAAACTTATGAAAAATAGGGCACTTTATAGTATGTAGCGATGCAAAGATGTGTGGGCAACCGCATATTTGACCATCGAAGCCGCAAGGGGGAACACTGAAAATGAAACGTGTCCCTTGCAAGTAGAGTGAAAAAATTACGACCGACTTCCTCGCCAAAATTCCCATGCATCCAGGTGACAATGGCAAATACTGGAAATGCCGAAATGCCGCCAAATTCCGCTGAACCAGAATTCTACCCTTCAAAGAGTCAGCCAAGTATGCACATGAAGGAGCGCACACGCAGTCATTCGTCTGAGCTACTCCCCCACCTCTCCTGGTTTTCGGAGCTAGCCGGCAATTCCGATCCAGCCGTTTTGCGATACGCAATCATCTCTAAAGATTTGAGGAGGACGGATTCTAAAGCTGTAGAGAAGCACTGCGTCTGTTCGCTCCTTCCTACTGCTGCTTGAGACTGACTTGGGCCCTCCAAAACTCCGACAGGTACGAACAAACTCCTTCGTGTGTGGTCAAAGATGGACTGCGTCTTTGAACAAGCCCAACATGCCACCATGCACAACATACTGCTGCTGCCGTTCACCTGTCGCCGCCCTTCCACGTCTACCTGTCCATGACACATGTTGCCACTTGATGCGACAACATCTGGGAAACACGGGCACAGGGAGTACTCCCCCTACCCATACACACACCGTCAAGACTGATTATAAGCTAGAACAACCTCTCATTCCTCTCTTTCCACATACAAATGACGTAGATGCGTGAAATGATACACTCTGTCTTTACTTCAAGTCCGCGCTGCCTACAAATTAATGGGAAAGGTAGCCATACCTGCTGCCGACACACGGGCGAGAGAGGCGACCATACCCACTGCATTTAACACACACACACATGTCGGTGACGAAACCCCAACCACACGCCTCTATCGGCGGCCACGTCAGGAGGCAATGATGAGATAATGCCCTCCCGTGCCCTTCTCACATTTAACGACATGCCATTACACAACACGGTAAATATGTTCTCCCGCGCCGCACATGCCCCCGTACATCACACACAAAAAATAAGTTGATGACGAAAATATACACACCCCGAGACGCGCTTGAACATATTTACCGTGTTGTGNGATGGCTACCAAACTGCCTTGTTGAGCCTGTTACCCACAGGGGAGATATCGTTGTATGCCGTCTGGGAAATCGTAGACATTCAGGTAGCTTTTCGCTCACGCTATGGATGCATCTATCTTAGACTTGTTTCTTTAGAATAGAGATGGATTTGTTACATAAGAAAAAAAAAAATCCCTTTCGACTGAGGTCATGTCTCGAACGGGTAGTCTTTCTGTGAGGTTACGTTTACTTTCTAAAAACTTGGACAAAATTTTAATATCCTCTCTTTAATTTTAGATGCTGGATGTGTCTTCGGCTAATATTGCCGGCTTTTTAGGCCAACTGCGCGGCCGGGTTGTTGCCGAGGGTACTATTTATTAGGGAGCGCTTCATGTATTGGATCGCGTTGGCGTGTTGACAGGGAGAACGCCAGCCTGTCGGCGTACTGCTCGTAGTGCCAAGGAACAATTCGTAAGTGTAGATATCGACATACGCACATAACCTGAGCCATCTGAAACAACGGGGCTTGGGTGTAGTCTGAAATGCACCATCTGAGCGCATGCTTTACACACAGCAGTAGTGGAACTCACGTGTAAGTACCACGCCAGCAAGTCCTGCTGCAAGTAGTCCCGCGCCGAAGTTGATGACGGTCCGCTCCAAGCACACGTCCCATTGCTCGCTGATTTTGAACTCCGATGGAACCTAAATATGTGAACACACCAGATCGTGTCGGAATGTGAGTGAGAAACAGGGTACCAATCCTACTAAGAGTACACAGCAGGTCCTCTGCACACGTCCCCGGCAAATGGCATAGCTTGGCAGCGCACACACGAATACCGCGCTGTGTGTACCCTGCAAACTATCGGACTGCAATATGTGAATGTACAATGTCTTGCTGTGTCTAAACCATTCGCGCAAATTTACACTCACGTCCTTCGGCTTCTTTTCCGCCATTATGACCCGATGAGCTTGTTGCAGAGTAACACAGAGATCGACCCACAGACTGCACAGAGAGGTTCGTGGGGATTAGTGTGGGATTGGCCAGCGGCGTGCGGTGTGCAGCCGGTCATTCCCTGCGGCACTACATTCCGCCGAGCCTCTGGGGCAGGTTTTCGCCGTAAAGGAAGCCTGTTGGTTCGGGGCTGATCGACATGTTGACTTTGTGTGCCTTGTGTACCCTCGTGCCCTCTCACCTCGCACTACCTCGCATTCGCAAGGGCCACAAGGGTGTGAATGCATCACAAAGTTTTGGTGTCTTAAATGGTGCGGGTTGTCATCCTATCTTTTCCAGGACGTCAGACTACACCGCGAGCATCTTCTTGTTGCGGATGATCCAGCCGTGGCCACCAGGCAAAGGATCACACCAATTCTTTGTTGTTTCTTCCACGTGGTTTCTTTTCTTTTAATCGCGAGAAGGACCGCCTAATCGCTATATCCGCTCCCCTCGTCGACCATGGAGTCGAAGAAACCTTGTATGCAGCGTACATACGACCTAACCCACGACATGAGAAACATCGGGGTGGATTCCCACTGAATGTACCACTAGCGATCGAGGTGACCAATAATACTCGAGTGCACTACAGATAGTCTAGGGCCCGGAGATAAGAGACGTCAAAATCGGGTCGAGCCTCAATTTCTTGTTATTCTGGGCGGAACGACCAGCCGATGTCGGTCAATTTCTTAAAACGGATTTCTTATTCTTCTGGGCTGTCGCATCCCGCTGATTCTCCTATTATTACTACTGTATTTTCTTGTTTCTGAAGGTGAAGAAAACGACACACCGAAAGTCTTCAAGCAGCATTAATCCGACAGCTCGGCGTGGCGAACGTTGGGGGTTGTGGCAGTACAGAAGTACAGCAGCAGTGGGTAGCGCAGCTCGAGGCGGCGCTGGGGCGCGGGGGGCGCCGCGAAAATAACCACTCCGCCCCTACGAACCGCAGGAGGGGGTCAAGCCCCCCCCTTCTATGTGACCCCGGTTGGGTCGTCTAGCTAGTAGAAGTGGAGGATAGGGACCAGAGGGGCAGATGACAGAATCCGATGATGGGAGAAAATAAATAAATAAATAAATAAATAATACAGTGGTATTTTTCATAAATAGGCTGAGAGGGTATCTGATTTTTTTCTCTACTCCGCAGACGATTCACACAGCAAACTATATATCATATGAAAGCTACGATCAAGAGCTTTCGTTTAAGCACTCTTTTGGCTGCAACTATGATCAAGGGCTCGAGTTAGCCTCGATGGACAGTTTTCGCGGAAACGGGGCGGAGGAGGTAAAATGCGAAGTTGACGGTGAAAAACAAAAAAGTTGCAAAAAAACGTTCTATTTTTGGAATCCTCGCCAGAAATGGGTTCTAAAAACGTTTGGTTGGAACCTCCGAGCGTCTGCGGAGGGCAGACATTTTTCAAACTTGACGGGGTGTCCGTTGCTGCCAGATCTGCGACGGACCATGGTGGTTGAACATGAACTGCTGCAGCTTGTGCGGGCAACTCTGCCAGCTGAATATGACCTCGGAGACGTCGAGATGCACAGATCGGCTCAAAAGAAGTACCGCGTTGGTCTGAAGGCAAGGCACAGCAGTCAGCCGTTACTTCAGTGGTACAGCAGCACCATCACCACGAAGTGTGCACGCGGCAGAAACAGAGACGCCGAGTCCCGAGCTTTGGGAAGCATCAATAGAGAAACATGGCTAGACCTCGCTGGAAAGACTTCCCAGCGTGCAGCGGTCCAGACACCACCCCCGCGAGTTATACCGGCCGTTAGATCGGCCTGTCCTGCACCTGGTTCGCTACGAGAACCTGGCGCTGGCGGCGCGGAGAGATTGCGAAGTGCAGGGTGTGGCGGTGCAAGAGAGGGCAGCGGACGGCCAAAAGGAGCACTGGGAAAAGCAGCCCGGCGAGAAAGAGCTGTGCAGCTGCGCGAGGAACTCGTGAACGCCTTTCCGGACGCACTCAACCTGAGCCCGGGGAAGCTGCAAGAAACGCTGCAGGCGTGGAAGGAGTTTGAACCTGAGTGGTCCGAGGAGGCGATGAAGAAGTACTTGAAGAAGGGAACCTACAGCAAGTCCCAAGCGAGGAAGAAGATCAAGCTCGCACGCGATGCAGAACTCAAAGCAACTGCGGGTAAGGCGGCGGCGTACGAGTTTCGTGCAGAAAGCATGGACTACTTCAGTTCCCTGCTGAAGAATGCAACGAACGCCATCAGCAGAGCAGCGGAACAGGAAGACGTGAGTGCTTCGGGTACATGTACTGCTGCTGTTGTTGCTTTTTTTGAACCTGCTCTTCCTCCGCCTCTGCCGTGTGTTACTCTGGTTTTCTTATACTTTTTTTGGGTGGTTTGAGAACCAAGCTGCTGCTGAACCAAGCTGCTGCTGCCATTGCACTTGTGACACCGTCCAAACGCACCTCTCGTACAACACTGCTGTAGCAACTTGTGCATCCAACAAACTGACTGCTACTGTATGATACCACAAGCATGAGAAATGTTGTGGNGCACGAAAAAATTACGTCGACATGAGCTATAGGTAGGAAGTGGGAGCATGGCGGCAGCAGCAGCAGTGGGACATTTCTGTGGACACGCTCCATCAGCTCCTACCCCTTGTTTCTTTTGTCTTGGGATATCGCACGATCATGATTCTTATTGGGAAATTTCTTACGTTGTGCCCGAGATTGAGCTGTGTTTCGTAGACCTTTTTTCTTATTTTCCGTACATGTTTGAGCCTTTTCTTCCCACAGAATTTTTCGTAGCTGCGGGCCCCATCTGTACAACAAACAGAACGAACAAGGATGAGTACTCTCTACATATCTATCTACTGGAAGGTACTGATATCCCTGAATCATGTATCCTTTCAGCTGTGGGTACAGGCGTTCTCCTCCTGGAGCAGCGGTTGTGGCTTGGGGAGATGGCGTTTGTGTCTACACCGAACAGTAGCCGAGGAAAAAAATCATAATGCAAGGAGCGACGGAAAGTTCAAGTTTGGCACCAGAGAAACCAGTCGAAGTGACGAGGAAGGGCGCGTGGGGGCTGTGCAGCGCTAACGAAGAACAAATGCCATGTGGCGAGGGCACACGCCTCTCTGAGCTGGCGCACGCTGAAGTCGCTGTTGCAAAAACTTCCGCTCAGCGGGTGGAAATTTCGCGATGTACATACACACTACTTACGTAATCATGCGCACACAACTCTGCATTTTTGGGCTGTGTTCTGCGAAACGGTGCAGGATAAAAAGGGGTTCTCCGAAGTGAGAACGTAACAGGATTCTCAGTGGCGCGGGGGACGTACTATACAAGGACGGACCAAGAACAGTAGTGCAAGCCAATATTCCACCGGTTGACCTATTTTAAGGCTCCTGCATGTAATCCGTACTACTGTAAGTGACCTTTTTGCTCTACATGATCATTTCCACGCCGCACACAATAGTCGTACCACCTCGAGCAACAATTCGACAGGGCAAAAGGCGTGTAAAATTATTTACCGGACAGTTTCGGTGACACAAAACGGCACACAAGGGCATCACTCAGTGACGACCCCGACATCCCACGCTGTTCGGCAGAACTCAAGTGTTTGACTTGTCCAAAACTCGACGAATTCGCAGAAACTACGTTTAGCCCATCTTCCGCGGCAGCGTCCGCCATTCTCTCAGCAAACAGAGGAAAAATTGCCCACCATCACTCGTTCACAAACCACTTTGTACATCTCTCGACTAATAGCTGGGGGGGGATTTGGCTACCATCACACCTGACTTTCACACACCACTCTGTAGATATCTGTTTCTCATCCTTTCTTTTCGACCTGACAAGAATAAGAATACAATAAACACATGGAAACTTGTGCTGCTTTTGAGTGCTTCAACACCAGAAAAGGAAGCAAAAATGGTGCCAGCACAGAAGGAAAGACACTCATGCGTGCCTTCGTCCAAAATATATACATAGGTCACGGGTACCGCTCGCAATCGTGTTGCCAACTATTGTACAACAATCTTTGTACACTCCCTGATCGCCCCGCCAGTAACTACTTCCTCACAGATTCAGGTCCACTACTGTAGTTTTACACCCATACCTAAACCGGCTGCAATGATTGCTGTGGTTTAACACCCCCACCTAAACCAGCTGCAACGATTGCGCCAATACACAAAACCCGCAAACAAACACTGAGTTTACGTCAGGAGGCGTGGGCAACATTGCGCACCGCCTTCCACCTACGCAAACAACCTGCAACACCAAAATTGCACGCATAACAAACCACCTACCGAGATCGGCTGCAGGTGCGGCTTGTGCGTACAAAAACATATTTTTAATCCCTCAACCCATCCGCAGGAACGTCTGCCAAGCAATGTGTCCACCGGTGACAACAGCGACGAAAGCAAGACCAGCTGTGCCACCAGGCAACCGAAAATACACCCACCAAACGTCGTCCGATGTGTCTGAAACGAGTATAGAACAACTTTTCAACCCCTCAACCCATGCGCAGAAATGTCTGCCAAGCAATGTATCCGCTGGTCACAACAGCGACGAAAGCAAGACCAGCTGTACCACCAGGCAGCTGAGCTCTATGCCCGTCACCACTGCGCATGTAGTACGCCATGCACGCGGGGGCGAGACCGTACAAGAACGGGTCGACATAAATGCCGACACAATCTAGGGCAGTAAGGAATGAGTCTGGGCAGGCCATGCTCACCACTGTCGGCGGGACCAAAACCAGTCCGGTTGCGCATAGTTTGACGTTCTGGTCGTGACGGGCAACCTCGTCGATCGAGCGAGCGTCATCAGCCATTGGAAACTGTCCAATGGTGTCGAGTATGCCAGTCCTCTGTTCCGACATTAGGGCGTCAACCAGGTGCGTCAGTTCTATCATGAGAGAAAACGCCGCGCCCCAGAATGATGTGATAATCGCCGATATGCTGAAAACCGAAACCAGTGATGCAAGCGCCGGGGATGTCGCCGCAAGTGCGTCCAGAGGTGACACTATTTCAACGGCTGAGTTGGGGTCCAGGCTACGGGTGCTTCCGAGCACGACAGCGTTCCAGAGAATATCTGCCCCACACCAACGGAAACAACGCATGGGTGCAAGGTGAATATAAAAATTCGATCTCAACGTTGCGCATTACGGGGTTCATACCAAGCAACGCGTTCTTCACACCGGCATTTCCTGAAACACCGCTCACATGTCATCAGTGGGAGTCCGGAGCCAATAGCGAGCGAAGCCTTGATCTTCCTCGCGTCCCCGTTCAGGTTCTTCGAGACAGCAGGCACAACGTTCTGGAAAGTCAGGGCGCAGAGCGCCACCGGGAGCATCGCTGGCAGGGTAGAGGCGTCCGGCGTTAGTGCAAGTAGCGTAAAGTCGACGCGAGGTAGACCAGTTGCCACGAGTCCACCAAACGAAATCGCGATCAAACCCACCAAAGCCGTGTTGGCGGCTTCCACAAATCTGGCCGGTCCCCACAAGGATACGGATCCTACCAATCCGGTGAAGAGCAGAGGTGCAAGGTGGAAATCCTTTATGCAGCTCGTGAAAACCGGGCCGCAAAACTCGGGCCATAACAACGGCAATGAGGACGCGCCTTGGCAGATGTAAGCTACCATCAGGAGATAGTTGCTCATCAGAAAGGCTGCACACATGAAGTTTCCTGCAGTCTTGCCCACGGATGCTTCCGCCATCTCTTGGACAGAGCTTCGGCCCTGTCCAGCGCATTCCGCAACTAGCATCCCCGAACAAAGACAGTACCCCCACACGACGACCATCGCTGTTGAGCTGAGAACAAATCCTGGTGCGCCCGTCACAGAAGGAAGCGCCAAAACTCCAGCGCCTATCATCTTGTATTGCATGCGTGAAGTTGGGATAAGGTGCGTATGGTGTGTATTAAGTCAGAAGCCGCCTTGTCCGGTGGCCTTCAAAACGTGCGTCGTACTGACGAAACACAGCAGCCCATTCGTACCCAATTGATGCGTGATTGTGCACCGGTATATCACAAGGTAGTGCTGTCGTGCTATGTACATCCACGTGATTGTAGAGCGCACAATAGCAGGACAAGAGGCAAGCAGCGCGTGCGATTGTTTTTTGGGAAACGTGCCCGCCGAACTGGGCCTTGATTCCAATTGGTACGTCATTTCTAAGGGAGAAACTCACATTGCCTGCGACGAGAGCCGAGTTGCTGAGAATGCTACCGTGCGATTCTTCTTGAGGAATTTCGATGTCGGATTCCACCAGGGGGAAGACATCCGGAGAGCCCGGCAAGGAGCTCCAACGAGGAAAAACGCTGCCACTCTGCCCGCGGTTTCCAGCATATCTTGTTAGCGGTAGAGGCAGGGAGCCCTGCAGAGAAGCAATGCACAGCAACAGTCCCACCGTGGATGCGCAAAAACTCTGACGGCAGACGTTACAAACACAGCCCGGGCTAACTCCTCCTTCTCGCAAACTACTTGTTGAAGTGCATTTTGTCGCATGTACGTCAACTTCAAGGTTCGCAGCTGGACGACATGGGCGTCACGATAGAGATGGATTCGTTGGGTCATATTGATGAAGTAAAAAAAACGAAGACTTCAACCCATCCCCTTCGACTGCTGTGGATATATCTCGAACAGATAGTCTTTCTTTGACTGCATGTACATTTCCTAAGAATCCGGGTCCGCCTCATTCTACAGCAGTAGGCCGTGAAAGGTGGTCCGGGGCACCAGCATCGATCCGTTTGATGATTGGAGTAACGACGGCGTCGAGCGAAACAGATTTTCGATTCAGCTGATAACGTTGTTGGCGTGGTTCAAGTTCATGGCCTGTGTCTTTTCAGGAGTCAATATGATGCATAACTGCAATATGCATAGCATAACTTCATGTCTCCCTTCAAACGGCGGTGCTGTGGAGTATGCATATTTACATGTGTGTGCTCAATACCGTCCCTTTGGACTGCTCCAGCTCGACTTTCACTACCTCAGGAGATGCTTTGGGCAATGAATTCTATGAGGATGCCAAGATGTTGCATGAAGCACCCTAGCCTGCACATTCGTGCGGCCTCGGCCGGCATATGTATGGTGCTTTGGGAAGAATTTCACGACAGAGCAGTACAGACAGCGGTGGGTGGTGGGTGACGTGTGTGTGCACATTGCATGTACAACTATTTTGGGTGTAGTCTTGTACAGCTGACACATACTTTCTTCCCGAAAACAGAGCGGAGAAAACAGAAAACGGTCGACACCCTGCTTGGCAGTGCACCTTAGCCTCAGTCATAGCCCTTGATATTTGTCGACAACTGCGACAATAACGCTCACCGTGAAGCAAACTGCGGAAGGAAGGGCTGCAGCAAGAAGAAGAACCTGGAATCTCATCCAAGCCCGCTTGCAGCGACGAAGTACAGCAGCAGTTCCTCGGTAGAATTAACGGTTCTTCGCGCTGTGCAAAACGCTCGTATTTGTCGAAGGAAGTAGGGGAGGAAAGACAAGAGTAGATCCGCGCCAATGGCTCTGGAGCTCTGGAAGAATGAGAAGGAACTCGCGAGGCGGCGGGTATGTAGAAGTGTATGTTGATGTGTTGGTGTGTTGGGCGTGCATCCATCTGCCTGCCAGCTGCAACGACGTCGACGACGCGTCGGGGTGACGCAAATGGACGATAGGTGGGGGGGGGGGGGGGGGGGGGGGGGGGGGGGGGGGGGGGGGGGGGGGGGGG